AGGCCTCAGCTTTCCAGGAGGAAGAGGGGGAAATGAAGGCTTTCACCCCCGGGCGACCTTTCCTGGTGGACGCCTCCAAAGGCAGAGCTCTTATAGATAAAGGGCACCTTGAGAGCGGGCTATAGGAAGGGACTGTCTGTGCCTGAGGGTCAGAGCGGGAGGAGGAGGCAGGTGAGTGGGCTGGGGAAGATGATACCCTGGGCCTGAGTCCACCCCCCCCCAAACCAGGAAGGGACAATACTGGGGAGAGTCACAGACTCTCCTCAAGTTCAGAGATGCACAGCTCCCACATGGGCAGAGGGGAGCTGAGGTGGGGGCCTGTCTCCTTCCATCTGTCTTGGAGCCTTACATTTCCACCGTGTCCACCTCCGTGGGGCACCAGCCCTGGATCTCACAGGTCCGGAACACAGAGCTGTAGTTCACGCAGCGGCCAGTGAGGATCCCTAAAGTGGAAGCCACAGCTGCTGGGTGGCTGCCTGCCCTTTGCTCCTCTCCCTTCCCTTCCTCCCCCGTCCCTTCCTTCCCCCCATCAGGGACCCTGGCAAGTGGGGGAAAAGAATGGGCAGGGAAAAGGGAGCTGACTTCTTTCCTGCTTCTTCTCCTGAGCCCCAGACCCAGACAAAAGGAGGTGACAGCTTTCCTTTCATGTGCTTCCAGGCTCAGCAACCCTGAGGACCTCCCTTCTTCTTGCTCTTCCTTCCTTGCCTCTGAATCTGTGCTGCAGCTCTTCCTTCTGTCTGGAATGCACTTTTTGAAGCCCCCTCTATCCTGCCAAATCCTATTCATCTTCAGGGACCTTCCCAAATGTCACCACCTCAAGGAAGCCTTTTGATACCACCCACCCAGAAGCACTCTCTCCCCCGCCCCCAGGCTCCACAGTCCTTTGTACCTCCTGGACAACACATGCCACTTCAAGCACCCCTGTCTGTCACCACCATCCTAGACTAGCAGCTCCTTTGGGCAAGGGCCATGCCAACCTTATAGCACTTGCTGGGTGTGGCACCCAGGGAACATCATGTAAATGCCAGCAGAATGACATGGAACAGGCTGGTTCCCACTCCCTCTCCGACGATGGGCTCTCCCCCATGGGTCCTGCTAACACTTGGGATTGTGGGGTGGGGAAGGGGCTGGACTCACCCCCGCCTGGGAAGCGCTCAGGCCTGCACTGGCTATCTGATACACAGCGGTATTTCTCCTCACTCTGTGGGCAGACAGGTCACAGGTTGGTGAAGGACCCTGTCCTGGCCTGGTGAGCCCCTCAGCTCCCATGATCTCCCCACAGCCAGCAGCTTCAGGAGGGTGGAGGTCCCAGGTCCCAGCTGCAAGGCCAGACTTAGGGCCTCTGCTTATACCCCACCCCTCCCTGCTACCAGTCCTACTCCCACCAACATTTTCAGCCTTAACCTGCTTCACCCAACCTCTCTGTCTCCTCCCCTCACCTCTGGGCAGAATCCTTGCATCTGGTTTTCAGTAACAATCATCTTGGTGATGATGACAAAGACCGAGGTGCCCTTGGGAGGAGAAGAAGGGAGAGAAAAACATGCAACAGTCCCAGTCTGTGAGACAGGGACTATCACTGATATCCCCTCTCTGTAGACGAGGAAAGCGAGGCTTGTGTTTAGTGACTTGGCCAAGGTCACAGGGCTAGTAAGGGGGCAGAGCTGGCTCTTTGCAACCACCCACATGGCCGCCTTCCCCAGTGTGTGTTGTCCTTGACTGCACTACAAGTTGTGGGAGAGCCTGGAGAGGAACCCAGCTTTCCTGGTGCCTAGCACCGCAGGCCCAAGCTCCTGCACAGCTCTCAGCTGCTGGATGAGAGGTCCTCTGGATCAGTGACATCATGGAGTCTGCTGTGGGAATCCCACTGGCGCTCTTTGCTCTGCTTTCTCCCCTCCAACCTGCCCAGCGCCTGGGCATCCGCATGCCTCTCTGGGTAGGGGACCATACCTGAGGTGGCGTCACATAATCAGACACATCCATGACTCTGTTGGCGTAGAGTCCGAAGCCCTTCACCTTGGTTACCACCGAGGACTCAATGGCTGTGTCCCGTACCTGGTATGCCTTCTCGTGCAAGAAAACCCACCTGGGGCAGGAGAGCAGAAATGGAGAGAAAGAGAGGAGTCCACAGACCCAGCAGACAGAAACTGGGGGAGGTCACCTTCCTGCCGACACTTGGCCATGCCTGGCAGGGTGTGCGGATGGTTCCTTCTGGAGGCGTGAGACCTAGGGTGAGCCCTTGGTTGACTTAGAATAGCGTTTCTCCACCTTTGGTCCCATTACCGCCCCTCAGGTGCCTTTCTAGACATTTCCCCCACAGTGGTCCCCCCTCCATGAAACTTTCATATCACAGATATCTGTTTATGTACTGTATGCAAATTTGTGCTTTATGCATAAAAAGAGTGAGAACCAATTTTCACCTCCTTGGGGGCCATATGGCCCCATTGAGAATGCATGGCTCAAAGTCATTCCATGCTGCTGATGGGGGCCACTTCTCTGGCAGGTACCCAGGAGACAGGAGGACAGAGGATCCCAGGCCTCTGCTCCCGTGAGTTCCAGCCTTGGCCCAAGGCTGTACCCTAAGTGCCCAACACAAAGTAGCTCAGTAAACAAATCAATGAAGGTCCTTGGGAGCTGGGTGCTTGGAAGAATCCATCTGCCCAGATGTCAGATGAGAACGGAGAAGGAAGCAGGGGCAGCGGCTGAGCTTTCACCTGGCAGATAAAGGAGTTGGGTAGAAGGTGGGAGGCTGGGGGAGGAGGGAGGGGAGACGCTTCTGATCTTATTCCTTGGATTGTGCTGCCACCCAGTGGTCATTTACCTGTACTGGCTCCTTCCTGCAGCTTTAAGTCATTATGGGACCATGTGGATGAGGCCTTCCCTTCTTCCTTCCCTACCTTCCTTCTCAGACTTTCCCCGCCTTCAGCAAGTAGGGCTTGCAGATACTTGCTGTCAACTCGTGCCTCTGCTTTCCTATAAAGTGTCTGCCTTTCCATTTGAAATCGCCAATCACAGCCCTCAAGGCTCAAGTCCCCGCTCAGCCTCACTTAATCCCACACTTCCAGCCTTTGGCAAGATTGCATTTGTTCCTGATGGCACACTGGGAGGTAGATGCTGCCACCGTCCCCATTTGACAGATGAGAAAACTTCATCAAATACGTTTAGAAAATGCTATGCAACCCTCCTCCCTCCCTGAGAAACACAATGTAGACAAACAAATACGTCTGTTACATTTTGTTAACCTCACTGTCTCCCAATCTTATTTGACCACAGAAGCCAGTCTTGGAGGAATATTGGTGACCTCTCGTGCAACTGAGGAGCACACTTTTGGAAATGCTGGGTCAGGGCATTTTCTGCATCTAACCAGGGTGGCACGAGGTTGGAAAACCACACCAGATGAAGGTGAGTGGAAGGAAGTTGAGACTGTGTAGCCCAGAGAAGACAAAGCTGTAGGAGTTAGAGGCTGGGAAGCTGCAGGGGCAGGAGCTGGGCTGACCTGAGGATTCTATAAGGAGGTGGGTGAAGACTTCAATCCCAGAACCGGCTGCTGCGGGAAGTCACCCCATGTGTGCCACACGTCTGGGAAGACTCCAGGACAGCGTGATGCTCTCCTTGCAGGTGTGCTGAGAGGAGGCCCTTTCCTCAGGTGGAGGTTGGACTGAATGATCTCTGGGGTCACTTACTGTTGGAACATGCAAAGAGCAGTAACTCCCAGAGCGTACCGGGGGTCCCAGTCACTTGTAGTTTGGACACCACCATCCTATTTATTGCAGACACCAGCGGGTATTTGCAAGTGGCTCTTTGTTCAGTTTTCAGTGAGAGGGTTTGGTATTATCTCCATCATGGGGCTTCCTTTGCTCACTTGAATCTTTTTTTCTTTTTATTCTAATTTAAGTTTAAATTTTTGATAAATAAATACTATTTATTATTATTATTTGAGTCAGAGTGTCACTCTATTACCCAGGCACTGGCGCGATCTTGGCTCACTGCAACCTCTGCCTCCCGGGCTCAAGCGATTCTCATGCCTCAGCTTCTTGAGTAGCTGGGACTACAGGCATGCACCACCACGCCCGGCTAACTTTTTTGTGTTTAGTAGAGATGGGGTTTTTCCATGTTGGCCAGGCTGGTCTCAAACTCCTGGCCTCAAGTGATCTGCCTGCCTCGGCCTCCCACAGTGCTGGGATTACATGCGTGATCCACCACGCCCAGCCCTATTTATTATTGATAATAATTGTATGTATTCACGGGGCACAGTGTGAGTGTTTTGATATGCCTGTACCTTGTGGAATGATTATGTCATGCTAGTGATCATATCTACTACCTCACATAGTTATCATTTTTTTGGTAGTATTACTGGCTTGAATTCTGAATGATTTCTTGAGCGGGAGAAAAAGGGTGTAGTCATGGCACCGGCAAATGGCTTCAAACGCGTTACCTGTTTTCCTATTGCTGCTTTATAGCAGGCGGGCGGCATCCTGATTAACGCACCACTTAGAGTGACTTGCGTGCTTGTAAAATGATCTCATGAACACCGCCTTCGATGGGGCTTTGTGGTGCTGCTTTATCTCCCAGCACTTTTCTTTTCTTCTTTTTTTGGAAGGGGAGGGGTTTCATTCAGATTTCACAAGGAAGTAAGCCTCACGTAGAAATCCCATCTGCCAAATTACGTACTAGCAGAAGAGAAGGGAGCCTCCCTGTCACAGGAAACCCAAATGTGCATTATTAGCTCACGGCCTGGGGCCCTGCAGAGTGAAGGGAGTGAGGTCTGGGGCCCAGGCTCTCTGCTTCCAGCTAAGATGGCTGCTGGCCGCAGCTGGATATTCGCAGAGTGCAAACTGTGATCTAAACACACTCTTCTGGAACCCAGCCTCAACGTGCCTAGCCACAGAATAGACACATTTCTCCATGTCAACCTCAGGAAATGGTTTTCTGAGGCCCCTGCCCTGCATCCTTAAAGTCCAGGAACATTTGGAGATGCAGAGTTCAGATTACGATTATATAACCAGTGCAGCACTCGCACTGGATCTTTCACTATGTTCTTACTGAGACAGCTTTGTTATTAACTCCATGTCATGAATGAGGAAACTGAGGCTCAGAGGGGGTGCTAAGTTGACCAGGATTACACAGCTGGTATGTCGGCTCTAACCAGACAACCTGCTCCAGACCACTCACAGCCCCTTCACTCAAAGGTCTCTAGCTGTGTCCCAGCTCAAGGCCAGGCCATGCTGGCCCCCTGAACCGGACCCTGTGCTTTTCCTACCAGCTCCTGCTCCATCACCAGTGAAAGCATCTCCTGGCTTAGGAAAGTCTCAGGAGGAAAGGGCTGAGGACTCCAAGGAACAATCAACCAATCTCCTACCTCCTCCTCCTCCTCCTCCAAGGCTCCTTCTTGTGCCCGGTGGGGCGGAGAGGCCGCATTAGAATTCTCTCTTTGACTTAAATAACAAGTGGAAGAATTTCAATGGCCTCGTGGGGCCTGAGGATGTCGTCAAGGCGGCTAGAAAGAAGGGGATGCTTCATTTCCAGAACAGAGGGGCTGAGTCTGTCTCTGGAGGCCAGGGCTCAGGAGCTAGGGCAGGCCTGAGCCTTCAATTCTTGGCATTTACTCTGCTGCTCTGACTATTTTCTTCTCGCATTCATGGTTTATTATTTATAGAGCGGAAGGCGTGTGGCAGCTCCTTGGCAGGTGGGATGTGCAGGAGAGAGGCCAGAGCCGCGCCCCAGCACCCTCCCATCTGCCCCCAGGGAGTCAAGGAGGAGGCTGAGGAGTGGGTGTGAAGAGTGCATGCTTGTGTGTGTGGGAGGAGGAGAGGGGTCTCTTAGGAAGGTGTGAGCTGGGCAGAGGGAAAGGGGGAGGGGTGATGGGGGGGTCTTTGTGAAGTAGTCACAGTTGCCATCTATTACTGAGTCACCATCTCTGCAAGGCACTTGACATATGTTACCTCCCTTCCCTATAACTCCCAGGGAGGAGGTATTCCTAAATCCATTTTCCAGATATGGGGACTGAGACTTAGAGATGTAAAGTCACTCTTAGGAGGCCCTCTCCTAGTTGGTGTCAGAGCCAGGCTTCTAACCAAGTGCTCTATAGTCCATATTGGGGGAGAGGGCAGACAGGAATGAGAGTCACTCCTCTCTCTGGACCAGGATGACTGGTCCAGATGGGGCATCCGGCCAGGCATGATGGCTCATGCTGTAATCCCTGCACTTTGGGAGGCCGAGGCACGTAGATCACTTGAGGTCAGGAGTTAGAGATCAGCCTGGCCAACATGGTGAAACCCCATCTCTACTAAAAATACAAAAAAGTCGAGCATCATGGCACACGCCTGTAATCCCAGCTACTGGGGAGGCTAAGGCAGGAGAATCGCTTGAACCCAGGAGGTGGAGGTTGCAGTGAGCCGAGATCGCACCACTGCACTCCAGCCTGAGGGACAGAGCAAAGCTCTGTCTCAAAACAAAACAAAACAATAACAACAACAACAACAAAAAAAAGATGGGGCAGCCCAACAGCTCTTCCCACCATAACAGCTCTTCCCACCATATCTGTCACTTAATTGTGCTGACAAGGTACCTCACAGTGCTACCTTGGGCTGAGAGGATGGAGTGGAGAGCTGAGAAGGCAGGATTCCAGACCCTTCTCTTTAAACCAGAGCAGCTCCTTGCTTTATGTATTGAACTCCCACCTAAGATCTGAAGTTGAATAATGAGGCTGAATATTATGAACCACAGCATGCGGCCCTACAGATGGTGAGTTTGTGAACTGGGCCTTGTATGGGGGAGGAACAGAGCAGGCAGGGCAGGGCTGTGACGGGGCCAGAGGCTCTAGCGGCCACCAATGACCCTTCAGCGCAATGGGGCATCAAAGGCCTGGGAAGTCCAAGGCCCTGGAAATCAACCTCAGGCCAAGCACAGGTTATTGCTTCCAGGGACTCAGATCCCAGGGATTTCTTTCAGCTTCTCAGGTCCCCACAAGATCCAGAATGGGGATGGGCTCTCGGGAAGTCCCACTCCACAGAGGTGAGTGGGGATTACCACATGGGCCCAGGAAAGATGTGAGAAACCTCAGGTAAGTCCAGGCCTTTCTGTGTGCCCTGGGGTGGGTAAAGGAAAACAGTGATGAAATGGAGTCAACCACAGACAAGCAGCTGAGGCCAGAGGCGGGGGTGAGAGCGTATGTAAGATGACCAGGTGGTGTGTTTCTGAGAAGTTCTCAGAGAAATGATGGGCTCATGTGAGGCAGAGTCGAGGTTGTCGACCTGGTCGGATGATGGGGAAGAGATTGAAGTATCAGTGATTAACACTATAGCCTTTAAAATCCCTTCAAATTCAGTTGGGTCCAAGCCACTGTCACCTCTCTCCATAAACCACCTCTTAGTAGGTTTTCCTGCACCCGCTCCAACTCCCTCCACTTCCAGGCGCATCAGCCCCGGTGCTCTTCCCAACTCAGATCTCACCGCGTCTGTCTCTCTCTCTCAAACTCACGTGCGTGCGCACACAAAAGTGCCCACAGACACATGGGTTAAAATGCTTCCGTGGCTTCTGTTTATTCATCTCCTGTAAAAACAAAAGCTCTCTAAGGGTGTCTGAGGTCCGGCCTCTGTGTGCGTTCCCATCCACCGTACACGACCCTCACCCACCTCTGCTCCCTCGGCTCCAGCCACAACGACCTTCCTTTCTTTCCCCTGTTTGCCAGGCTCCTTCCCTTTGCAGAGGTGGGTTTCTCTGCCCTGAACTCTCTTCCTCCCCTCTTTCACCTGGGGTGCTCCTACTCATCCTTCGGGTCTTGGCTAAAACGTTACATCTCCAGAAACCCTTCCCTTACTCCCTGACCAGGCCAAATACCTTCACAGAAGCGGCTCTCCTATAACTGTTCACCTCCAAGCCACAGTTGACATTTCACATTTGTGGACGTCATCAGATGAATGCCCATCTCTTGCCTTCCGCTGTAAGCCCCACGAGGGCAAGGACCCTGTCTGCTTTTGCCCACCATTCCGTCCTCAGTCCACAGTGCGTGGCATGCAGAGATGCTGGTACATTTTTGCTAAATTAATGACGGTGGACTCATGAAGTCACAACGTGCGTGGGTTCACATACACGGAGATGGGACTCAGGTCAAGGGACTGGGCTGCAGGGGGCGCTGATGTAACTGGAAGGGAGTGTCTCGTGGGGAGCTATCAGGCTGGGAGATGGATGGGGTTGGAAATTAAGATGCCAAAGAGCTTCGCATGCTCGCTCCAGCAGGCTGGGCTCCAGCCCTGAGACCTGGAGGATTCGATCTGATCATGATGAGAGAGAGACAAGGGCAGTGGGGGCTGAGAGGGCTGGTCGAGGAGCCCACTCTCTATCCCCCATCAATCTCTGCCTGGAGCCAATGGAGCCAGGCCAGATGGGGAATGTGCTGAGCCAGCTTTTGCACTCACCTGGGCCAACATACCATCTTGTGGCTATAAACAACCACAGCATTGAATATACACGTGAACACAGAACATTTAAGAACCAACTTTGAGCCAAGCTCTGGAGATGCAGACAGCGAACATTTGCAAACCTCGTATCTCACAAAACCTCAACATTGGAAGGGAACTTCATGGCCATTTAATGCTATTCCAAAGCTGGAATCCCTTTTCTAAAATCTCCCAAAGGAGCACTGGATGGTGCAGCCTTTTTGCAATACCTGCCCACTGAAGCCTCTCAGCGCTTGCCCAGCACACAGAGCAAAAAATCACCTAAAAAGTCACATCTAGCCACCTTTCCCTCCACACCCTCACATAAACTTCAACTTTTCAGGCAAGCAGGCTTGCATGCAGCTTCAGCCCACAGTCACACAGGATTCTCCTTTAACCCGCTTGAACTAACTCCTAACAGTCAGTGGCTTGCTGCCTCGAATGCACAGACCCATTGTCTCAAAGAACAGCATAAGATTGGAGACCCACACCCCAGGAAAGAAAACCTTCGAGGTTTCTGCCTGTATTTCCTGGTGCCCACCAGTGCGTGGAAATGACCACAAGCAGGATAGGACCTGCTTTCTCCCCCAGCCATTGTCTGCTCCACAGCCCTTTGTGTGTGCGTGTGCGCGCGCCTGTGTGTGTGTGTGTGTGTGTGTGTGTGTGTGTGTGTAGGTGTGTGCTTCCAGGCGGTGGGGGCTGAGAGGGGATGCTTGCACCTTCCTGGCTCCTAAGCAACTGCTAGGATGGGTTACATGGCACAGGGTCAGGGAGAGGTGGGGAACTTAGGCTTTTTGAGAAAGGGGAGCATTTCTGGATTCCTGGAGAGGAAGCTGCACTGTGTTCAGAAAAGCTCCTTTTCTCCTTGGCCACTCTTCCCTTGGGCCTGTGTTTGCTTCCTCATCAAGGGGCAGTTCCCTCCTTGTCCTCCTCTTCAAGAGCACAGCGCTTCTCCCTTGCCCTTCTCTCTCTCACCATCTCACCCACCCATGCCAGAAGGAAATTCCTCACTCTGAAACGGGCCCAGTTCTCTCTTTCCCTCCCGGCCACCAACTTGACCAACCTGCCACCACCCCCTTGTCTCAGTACCTTCCCTTCCCTATTTCTGTGCTGTCTTGTCTTTTTGAGACCCCGAAGAGTTGACTGAGGGGAATTTGAAGATGTGGGAGGGGGTCTGCCTGTTCTCTGGTTGGAGAGATGAGAGCAGGGAGGGTGGAGATGGAGCTCCTGAGCCCTCCCTCGGTGGAGGGCAGTGCCAGGGCAGGGACCCTACTCCTCCGAGTGTGTGTCTTGAAACCACTCTCAACCCTGGAGGATGAACTGGGAAAAGAATTCATCTGAGTGAATTCAGGTCCTAGGTGGGGGTGGCAGAGGCCAGTCTTTAGGACTCGGCTCCACAGAAGAAAGTGTTTCCCGGGGAGGGGAGGAGCTCAGGAAGCTGGATGCAGGTTTCTGAGGCAGGAGGGTGAAGATGGGACGCCAGGCAGCCCACCCCGCCAGGGACCTGAAGGGCCACAGACTCACCCCACAAAGTAGGAGATGATCAGAAGCTGAACTACTCGGTTGATGATCCCGATGGTCCAGCTCTTCACAACCACCGATTTGGTGGTCTCATAGGTGAAGAAGTCGGATATGCAGTTCATACTGAGAGAGTGCTCAGGGGACACTCAGAAGGGGGCCCAGTGGTGGCCTCAGGAGAGGGAGGTCCTACAGGACAGGGAGACAGGATCACGACCTGGAGGGGGCAGCTTAGAGGGGTCGGAGGAACGGGGAGCCTGTCCCTTTAAGCCAGGCAACCCTAGTCAGGTTCTTTCTTCTCTTGATACTCTGGCTTCCAAGAGACCAGGGCGGGGGACCCCCTTTTTGTTCGTCTCCACCCCACTCCCCTGTGATGTCACAGCAGGGGTGGGGTCTCCAATCCTGGGCTCCTGATTGCCTGGGATGTAGCTGGCTGGAGCCCTCTGGGACTAATGTTTTATCTGCACTCTGTCTACTGTTTCTGTTCTGTTCTCTTCTGCAGCATCCTCATCCCAGCTCACCAGCTGCTCACGCTCTCCCTAAAGCCCTTTGCAATTTCCCGTCCCCTAGTCACCTAACAGCCTGCCTGAACTGAAGACCCCCTTCATTCCTGAGTGCCAGCCAAATTCCACCCAGTTCTGCAGCCGTCCCCTCCTTTCCTGAATTGCCCCCAGTGGCATGGGTCAGGGGGAGAGGGTCTCTTGAAAGTTTTTCTGGGTCTTCTGGGGTGTGATGAGTAAAGACTCACATATTTCTAACTCCAGTTGGTAATGAGTTTCACTCTACCTGTAGCATAGCAGTTAGCACTTTTTTTTTTTTTTTCAGTTTATTTATCAAAATCATTTGTTAGATTATGTTTTCCCGAAAGGTTGGGGCTGGGTCTTTCTTTCTTCCTTCCTTCCTTCTCTTTCTTTTCTTCCTTCCTTCCATTTTTTTTTCTTTTTCTTTTTCTTTTTTTGGCAGAGACTCGCTCTGTTGCCCAGACTGGAGTGTAGTGGCACGATCTCAGCTCACTGCAACCTCTGTCTCCTGGGTTCAAGCAATTCTTGTGCCTCAGCCTCCCAAGTAGCTGGGATTATAGGCACCCGCCACCATGCCTGGCTAATTTTTGTATTTTTAATAGAGACGGGGCTTCCACGTTGGCCAGGCTGGTCTTGAACTCCTGACCTCAAGTGATCTGCCTACCTCGGCCTCCCCAAGTGCTGGGATTACAGGTGTGAGCCACTGTGCCCAGCCAGGGATGTTTTCATCTTGTTCAAGTTCCTCAAATCCGAGAAGTGTGCTAAATTAGTAATAGGCCCTCAATATCTATTTATTAAACCCAGTTGAATTTATATTGCTAGATAATGCTGGAATAGCCACTACTCAGAGGTTAAAGCTATGAATTCAGGGGAGAAGGGTGCATTCCTGTTGTCTCTTACCTCAGGATTGAGTTAGCAAGCTGGTGTACTGATTGTCAGGGAAATCTTGAGTTTACATATTCTGTACTAATGTCTTCATGTAGGACACATATCATCAATCATTCTGAACATACAGTCACTGTGATTATGACAGAAGATAACTGGACTGGTGGTGGTAAGGAGGTCTGTGTCCTAGCCTTGTTGCCAACGCACTGAGACCCTGGGCAACTCACTCCCCTTTGGGTCTCAGTATTCCCATCAGTAAAAAGAGGTTGGGGTAGAAAAACTAAAATATATTTTCCAGGTCTGGTCTCTGATGTTGCAAAAATGCACTCTGGGACTATATGAGGGAGAGCTGGCTTCCGCAACCCCAGGATGATGTGGTTTCAAATCAGTTCCGGCTCCAAAGGGAATCTGATACCAGGACTTGAACTGGATACGGACATTTGCCAGCCTCTTGGGGGGACCTATACATTTCGGTTAGGGATGTGAAAATTTTGGGTGTAGACAGCGAACTTGACAGGTCAGCCAGAAAGCAGTGCACCCACGGTGACACCAACACCCGCATTCTCTCCGCAGCCAGTGCGAGAGGTCGTTTCTTCCCACAACTGTTCAAATACTTTTCTTCGTGTTCCATCGACTCCTTTCCATGACACAGAAACTATTTTGCAGAGAAACGGGCACGCATCATTTCAACACACACCCCCACCCCATTCCTGTACTAAGCTAAGTCTGATACAATAAAACTACACAATTTCTCTTCAGTATCTAGTCTCCACTGAAGAAGTGTCTGTAGTTTCTAAAGAGCCCTACACAAATATTCTAGGCAGATTCCACCCGACTGAGAGAGACTTCACGGCAACCACTCTTCCCTCAGGTCCTCCAGAGTCGCTGACGCTCTATGCGACTGTCTCGCAGGCGGGCCGGGCTCGCGTCTCTCTAGCCAGCTCGTCGTCTCTGTGGCCTGTGCACGGCTTCCGGTGGCGGGACGCGGGGCCGCGCACGCGGGAAAAGCTTCACGGCAACCACTCTTCCCTCAGGTCCTCCAGAGTCGCTGACGCTCTATGCGACTGTCTCGCAGGCGGGCCGGGCTCGCGTCTCTCTAGCCA